TTGATTTTTTTAAGGAGTTTGTGCTTTTTTTATTTACATTTTTTTTATTTACGTTTTAAGGTGATCATATATTTAATGGTGTTGCACTGGCTGGAGTGAATTGTTCCAACTTTTATATTCAATGCTACATTGTGTTTATATATATATAATATATATATATATGTAATAAAAGTGAATTTCTGGGAGGGGAGTTATACATGTGATTGTAGGGATAATCAGAGCCAATCTTCTTTAATTATCATTTAAAAACGTCAAAATTTAAATATAACCTAGTATAAATATTTGTGTTTTGAAACAAGTAATATAAATTAGCAGGTTTTTGTATGGGTGGTGGATGAAAAAGATCAATAGTCAATATACAATATTCTCTTGTATGGAAATCTATAAGTAAGCTTTTGGTTAATGTATATTGTCACCCTGGCATAGTTCAATGTAGAATGTTATACATTTCTTTTGAAAAGGCCATGATGTTTGAAACTCTTGTGCTGTAGAGAATAATCCACTCTTCTAAAGGGCATTTAATTTAGCTTTTATAGAGGTATCAGTAAAAATAAATGTATTAAAGGATGAAGATTTTTATGATTATGAGATTAAGTATCGTGTCCTCTCACAAAGCACTGTCAAATACCATCACTCTGTAACAAAAAAATGATGTATTGCACTAGAGTAAAAAATATTGATACTGTATAACAGTTGCACCTTAAATAACAGCCAAATAGCAATGCTTCAATAAAGTGGCAAAAAGATAGCTAAGACTGGACTACATCTTTGAGGGAACCCACAATGGTAAAGTTTGCTGAAAAGTCACAAAAAGAACACAAATGCAATCCAATACATAAAGCAAATGCTAAAAATGCTGTATTTTTCATCCTGTATGAAGGCAATCATTTGAGGATTCAGCAGTCATGATAAGTTGGTTGAATGTAATCTTGCCATTATTTATACTTCTGTTCAAACCAAATTATGGGAGGATTGAGGTTTATTTTGAAGAATTTTCATATTATTTCACAGAATCATCCAAGTCTTCAGGATAAGGTTTTCTTTTGGGAAGGATAGGAACGTAATTTGAAATTTATGAAGAACATTATTTTTGCCTCTGAATTTTTGTAACTGGATGAATATTGTATCTAGTTTTAGTCGCCATGATATAAAAATGATGTTGAGACTCTAGAAAGAGTACAAAGAGCAATGAAGTTGATTAGGGGATTGGAGGCTAAAACATATGAAGAATGGTTGCAGGGATTGGGTATGTCTAATATGATGAAAAGGACTAGGAGTGACATGATAGCAGTATTCCAATATCTCAGGGGTTGCCACAAAGAAAAGAAGGTCAACCTATTCTCCAAAGCATGAGATACTTATGAGATTAAGTATTAAGCACCCATTGCTTCTTGTGCTGAAGGCAGCACAAGAAGCAATGGGTGGAAACTAATCAAGGAGAGAAGCAACCTAGAACTAAGGAGAAATTTCCTGACAGAACAATTAATCAGTGGAACCACTTGCCTTCAGAAGTTGTGATGCTCCAACACTGGAAGTATTTAAGAAGACAAATCATTTGCCTGAAATGCTATAGGGCTTCCTGCTTGAGCAGGGGGTTGGACTAGAAGACCTCCAAGGCCCCTTCCAACTCTGTTATTCATTCTCCCTCCCACTCCCAAAAAATCTCTTAGCAGGAAATTCTGAGTAAAATTCTCAAATCTAATTTGGATCTCAAACCTATAAATATTAAAGCAGCGGTTCCCAACCTTTCCAGCATGACAGACTGGCAGGGGGAAGAGGGGATGGTTCTGTGCAAACGGCAGGTGTGCAGGCGTGCCCGCAATTCGCACAAATGGAGCTTTGTGTGTACGCACGTGTGAGTATCCACCGCTCATGCAATTGGAGCTGTGCACATGCGCTCATGCACTGCTTGCACAGCCTGGTTCTGAACAAGCCATGGTACTGGGTCGCAGGCTGGGGGTTGGGGACCCGTGTTAAGTTAAACACTACAAACAAGGATGAAAAAATATCCTTTAAGAATGTTTATGTTCGTAATGCATAAGCATTACTGGCTTTAGTCATATCTAGAACATTAGAATTTATTCTAGGATCTTGTAATTTAAAACAAGACACCTACAGTATTGAATAAAGTCCACTGTGATTTGATTAGAGTTGAAATATTGTAGAATCTCTAGTCAATTTACAAATTTCTAAAAATGTTACAGCTAGTTTGCCTTTAGAAGAGAAAGCTCTCTTCAAATAGCCAAAATAGGGAGATGTTACTCTTAAGAGCACTTAAGAAATGAGTGGTCAAGAAGAGATTTTGTCTGTAGTCAGGTGCACTCTCCCACAAGTGATGACAAAGCTTTCTGTTTAATATCCCAAAGCAGCAATATCAGGCTAAATACACCCAATATGAAGAAATCTGATTGGATAGTATAATATACTTTATGATTTCATCCTTTAAACAATAATTAAAAACATATTCTCACATTATTCTCTACATATATGCATAATCAGAAGCACATTGTATTTCATTGGATACTAAGTCTGAGATTCATCTCCCAGTAACGTATGTTGAGGACAAATTACTTGACAATTTGGAAACAAAAGGGGCAAATTAGGAACATATATTACTTTTAGGTATGCTTACATTTGACGATAAGGCAACCTTTGTTCATATATTGTATTAATAGCTTCTAATACAGTACAGTGTAAATGCTTTTGAATTGCATGAGATCAAACACTAAAAATAGTTAAAGATTAAAATGTTGGTCAATTTCAGTTTTGGAATATTTTTTTTTGATGCTTGTAGATTCTATAATTGCAAAGGTAAGCAGAAAGATGGCTGCACGTAACTTCTTAATCAAGAAGTGGTAGCACAAAGACCTGCACAACTGCTTGAGAGCATCATGCCTAGTGAGAAGAGACAAGTTTCTCCAAATGTTCCTGTTCAACCTTTTGATACTTTAGCACAGTACTATCAAGAAGTCTACCCAGATACTTGACAAGCTAGACTATTTTATTTCATTTTATTTTGTAAATTTTATTTTGTAATTTCATACTTGTTTTCCAAAAGGGGAGGACTTTTTCAGAACTAGGCACAGGCAAGGGACCTCCCCATTCCCCGTACAAAATTTTTTTCGGAGGGATTACTCGACACGGGTTTAGACCAAAAATATATTCTCTGCACTTTGTGCTCCTTAGATCTTAGGATTATTAACTGTTTTTAAAGCCTTTTTTCCCCTTTCTAGTCCCATAGCAGCTTTACTACAGAATTTTTATTTTTTGTTTTCATTTCTAAAGATGGTTTGGTTGAACCACTTAATGTTTCTTGCTTCTAAAAGTATAATTATACATACCGATTTCCAGAGTTGGCTCACAGCAGCAGAAAGGGAAGAAGCAATTCTGTGATGACTGCCCTCCCCCAAATACATTTTTGCAGAGACAGACTCAGCAAAAGCAGCCCCTTCTGCCTCCACAGGATGAAATGCCTTCTGTGGAGAGAAACATTGTGTTCACAGTTAAATCCAAATTTTGGGTTTTAAGCAGCTGGTTCACACACTGTGCTGAGCCATAATATGGCTTATGTAGTTTTGGCTTAGCATGATGTATGAATCCAGTTATTATAATATATAATTCATGTTTAAGGCTTATCAAACTGTGAAGCAAGCTATGATTTGTTCTTAAGGCATAAAAAATGTCTTGCCTAAGATCTTAAACCTGCCAATGCACAGTAGTTAAAACGGCACTTTTATTCTGTGCTTTCACTAGCGGTTTGTATTATGCAGTCAAAAATAGCCCAACACTATTTAGTTATTTCGAACTGATTTTAAAAGAATTTACTATAAGCCCAAAAGCACTTTGGAGTATGTCTAAGGGCTTATATGCAGTGCAATGGATGGTAATGTATTGTAGATACTACTGAAACTGTTTCAAAGAGTGTAAGGGGCAGGGTTAAAAATATGGAACTGGAAATCCAGCAAATAGCAGGATTATCTGCACAAACATTCATATACATAAAATCTACAACCTTGAAATAGAACACTATTTATCAAAAAGTGTTCTGTGAATTGTAGCTTTAGTACTCAGCATTTTTTTTCCATATCCAGAAAGTGAGGAGACACTACGTTGCAACCACAATTCAATAAGCTATTTGCTTCCCCAGTTCTTCTGCTTCAGAACTGCCATCAAATAATCAATCCAAGAAAAAAAACCCAACACCAGGGCTTTTGATAGAGCTGGCAGGGGTGGGAAGAAGGATGTGAAGAAAACAGCACTGAATGGTTGCAATGCAAGCTCTGCTTCTTTTTCTATGTGCATCCTGAGGCTGCAGTCCTACAAGAAAAGGCAGGGCTGGCCTCATAAAGGCTGAAATGCTGATACAATTTTGACAAGAATCTGGGAATTTCTACCTCTTGATCTAATTTCCAGAGAGGAATTCTCGGCCACATAATTCTAGTATCAAGCAGACAGCGTTTTCTTCAAGAAAAAAAACTGAAGGGGATTCTTCAGATTTCAGTGTGTTTAAAATTAGTTTAATAGTAACTAACCAAGTAGCAATTTGATTACGTAGACTCTCATATTTATCCCCCAACAAGGCATCCATTTTTAATTGAAACAGGAGAACTATGTACTTTGGCACATTATTCTACAGTGGCAACCTATTGTTGTTACAATAATTTTAAATAAACATTTTAGTGTTTCTAATCACATTAATAGATATTAAATTATAGTGTCCCAATGCATGAAAATGGTGACTACCACTGTTAATTAACATATATTTTAAAAACTAGGCTTAAGAACTTTGTAGTGTTCTAAACCATACTGAGGAAAAGCCATTTAGAATAAAGTGCAGAAAAATAACACCTACTAACAAAAGCCCAATTCAATATCTCCTAAGTCTGACCTGAGTGTTTTTCAGAAATAACATCTTCTACAAGAATTTAAATCATATCATACCAAAAATATTACATTCAAAGTTACATCAAAGGTGATTTAAACAGAAAGTAAAACAAAACTGCATATTCAAGATAGTTTAATATGTATTTTCTGAATTAGAAATACCACTTCCTTAAATGATTAAAATTACTAGTGTAATGATTTTCTTAGTCACTGAATTACATTATTTACATATATAATACAGATTGACTGTAGTTGAAACATTATTAAAATAAAATGTTTGATACAAAGGATTTATTTATAACATAACTTTAGATGGTGCCCAAACACAATTTAAAATTAATTATCCACTAGTATTACGCTATTTAAGTGCAAACAATCTTTTTAGAAAAACCTATGATTGTAGCATCCATCTTTCTGAATTACATTTGTGAAGCCAGAAAGTAATGACTTTAATTTCCCATGAGAGCTTTTCAGGTTAACCATCTCCGATTTTAAAAAAGCAGTGCAAAGAAAAAACTCAACAATAATATTCTAATTTATAACACCATTAAACTTACTTGGATTTAAGAAATATTTTATTTTACACGTGTGGATGTGTGTGAATGTAGGTATGTGATTAAATTACACTGAGAAATATAAAGCAATTGCTATTTTTAATTGTAGCACCAAAAGAAGCATTTTTAAGCAAAATTCTTCCTTAGGTGAGCAGCCTCAAAGTATTAGATGTAAAAATATAACTCATTACAGAATTATTTTGTAAAACACTATGTGATTCACATAACACTCTGCCTTTTAAGAATTTGTGATGCTCTCTGGCTGAACAGCAGCTCCTGGTTCCATTGTCATTACTTCTTGTTCTGTGTTCAAAGGTTTGCTAGGAGTGTGATGGCTATACTACAGTTCCACTTGGAGAATTGGCCTGGTTTTGGGATGGCAAAACACCCTGCAAACAAAGCAGTTTACATTAATCCAGCAAGAGAATCCAACATTTACTTTGTTAAATACTTATGTTTGCAGATTTTTCTTGCAGAATATTTGCATACTCAATGTATAATTTTAGATCATATTGTTCAAAAACGGTAGTAAATAACTCTGTTCGGATGTAACAAAACAAGTTCCAAGATTTTGGAAATGAAATGTAAGATCAAGGTAATAACAAGTTTTAGTCTGGTATGACAAGCAAGAAGTCTTACAGCATCATGAAAAGAACACTGCTGCAAGTTTTCCAAAGCTGGCTTCAGAAATATTCTCATACATCTCACAGGAAACTCTTAAAAGAAATTTCATGTCATATCCGATATTCAGTTTATCAGAACACTTTGGTTTCTTTATGCGGAAAATGTGATAACGTTGCACAGAATAGTTTCTCTTATGGACTTATCTTACAATGTTAAGAAAAGGAAATGAACTACAAATGTGTCTGCATTATAAGCCCTTTGCTGGGGAAAAATAGTTATTTGTTGATGTAATTTGCCTTTCAGATTATTTATACTCCTTGCAGTTTATAGTTTGTACCCATAAAATACAATTACTCATGAGTAATTTTTACCAGACTGAGATTTTTATTAATGAGTTTCCAATCTGATGCCTGAAATAGCAATTTGAAGATTCTCAGCCAATTTATGTACTCTTTGGACAGAAACAGATGCTTTAATCTATTTAATTTTTTGGTTAGATGAGGAAGGTAAACATTTCTGGCTGTTTGTTCACCTGACAGATGCTCTGTTTTTCTTCAGCAGATATGTAATTCATTCAGCCATTATATGGAAAATCTCAAGGATATGAGCCATTTTAGTGAAGAATGCCCCTCTAAGAATGAAACATAATGAGCAACTCTGCCCCAAATTTAATGTGAACTGTAGTTGCAGTCCACTAATTTTTAAGCAACTAACATGTCATATTTTCTTCTAACAATTGATTTTGTCTTTAGTTTATGGCTTAATAAGCCATCATTTTTGTGATCAGAAACTGATTTCTGAAGTTGACAACAAAGGTTTAAAATTATGAGCAAGAGATAAATTCTGATACGCACACAAGCCTCTGACATTTCACAGATCTATATACAGTATAACATCAATAAAAGCTTTAAATGTTTGTGAATCCTTCATAATCTAAAATACAGACTTTCCAGATATTTTTCTTAATTTGTATCATACAGCTACAGTTGGTCACATTCAAGTTTAAATCCACTTCTAATATAGAATTAATTACATCTTTGGAATCTACAGGAGCTCTTTCTCACTTTCTCCTAATAACGATAAAATGTTAAGAAACAAGCACGTTTTTGAACCAGTAAGTTCTACAATGAACACTTGCCCTAAACAAGGTAAGCCAATAGAATCTGTTTCAACACTTTCATACTCCAAAGATCTAGCACTTGTTTTTGTTTTTAGCTAAAATGCTACTTCTGGCAGAGGCCAGTAAAAAAAGATAAACTGATTTAGAGTACACCCTATATGTTTTAAGGCCAGAAGTAAATAATTATTTTGCTAGACATTCTTTGTAGTATACACTACAAATCAAATAGAAATTTAGCATGGAACTTTAGTCTCAATAAAGTACTGATGTTTAAACTTGGGAAAAAGTGTCAGTAAGAACAAACCCTCTTGGTTAAAAAAGAATTCCACAGGAGAAATGAAAAATAAGCAAATGTGAGATCAGATGCAATCTCTGTTAATCTGATCTAAGTAATTTCATGACAGCAACTTCTCCAAGCTCCCTCCCCAAAGTAAAATCAGTGCTAACAAACAATTCAGTCTTATGAGAAATAGGCAATTATGTACAATTAAGGAATTTATCTCCAAGCCTGATCCCAGATATAATAACAATGTAATTGTATTATTTCCCTATTTTCTCAAATAAGACATAACCAAGAGCAACTTAATATTCTACCTCATTTGCAGTGCATTTTTAAGTTACTTAAAACTATTATTTCAGAACTTTAATAAGTATAACAAACAGCAGGATTCTTGTTATTCTAAAATGCACATGCTCATAAAGTAATCAAAATAGCTTACAAGTGACAAAAATAAATTTCAATTCCATAACCTGTTTCTGCAAATAACTTCCTAGTTTCCTTTTCCCTAGTGTTAAAATTTCTAAACATATTTTTCTATGCAAAGGTCTGCAAATGCCGATTTTTTTTTGTTTACCTAGATTTGTTTAAAATCTTATATTTTGTTACAGTATAAGACTATTTATTGTAAAACATATTTAAAAACAAATTTAAAAGATCATTAAGAAATTCCAAACAAACCAGAAAAAATCTTAGTTCCATTCCGCTGAAACACAGGTCCATTAAAAATCAACAAAATATCTGAACATCAATTTTAGATTTGTTGTTTCAAACATATTCACCATTCAGCTATCAACAGCTCTTTCTCCTTGTTTAGTAACTGCAATTTGGTCTCTAAATTAGAAAATGGTTGTTAAATAAATCATTTGATTGACAATGAAGATGCTGCAACAACTGCAGAATGCTGCCATTTTATTTAAATAAAGTTCTCTTGTGCTGCAATGCCAGGCATTACTCTTATTCTGGCATTGTCAGGCACAGAAAATTGGTGGTAACTGGTCAGAAAATAACTTTTGAAAAAGAAGTTACTACCACTACTACCATTTGTGAAAGCTTGCTAAATGAAGTAATGCTACACAAGGAGTGACTGTATCCTCAAAGAAATCTGAAGCAGGAATAGCATTCTGGATACTCATCATAATTTATAACAGCAATCTTGATAAGAAGTTCCAACGATCTCTATTTAGAATTATAACTCAACATCAAAGATTCAACCTCCTTATAAACATTTCTATTCTGGGAACATGAATTAGTCTTCAAAGTTGTACATAGAACTTGAACAAAGGACTGGAGCTGGCAATTATGAAATTAAAAATGTTTTGAATTGGTTAACTATACTCTTACCGGACTTTTCTTGTGATTCTGGAAAAATATCTACCTTGGTAAAATTAAACAAATCCCAGTCAGTAGAGGTTTTAAAAATACCCCCCCCCCAGCTTACTGAAAAAGGAGCAACAATACAGAAATGTGAATCATCACATTCTCCACTTAATAACCACTTCAGCTAAAGTAAGCTTTTTTTTTTTTTCAGCTGAGCATTTCCTGGTGCAGATAAATGGGCAGTAACTGAGCATACAGTGGGCTGGCATGCTTACAATACAGATCAGAAATGCATTTAGTATTTACTATGCATGCTAAATATACTAAAATGTTTTTGAGATCCTTACCAGAAGGAACATAAATAAATACTTTTCATTAGTACAACTTTCTCTTGTTAAGTGACTTCATTTTTATGCATGGAAGAGGGAAAGTAACATGCTTATTTCACTATGAAAGAGAACTAGTAGGACATAGCACGTTCTCTTAAGGATGGAACTAATTTTAAAAGATAACAAATATTTTCTGAATCTATTTTTTCATATATACTTCTTTATCAAACCATTTTCCATAATTTATCTTCATAAAAAGAATACAATTCAATAGTATTGTTTTTTAAATCAAGTATATTTTTAAAAACCAAGTATAAATTGATTAACAAATAAAAGCATGCATGCAGTGTCATGAATAAGTCAAGTAATTTTCTTGGTCAAATAAATATTCCAGTTGAAGAAGCAAGATTTAGACAAAAGATTATGCGAATAGATGGGTTGCTCCCTACACACACAAATAAGGACATAGAAGAAGTCTGAAAACATATAATAACAAAAGAATAAGACTAATTTGCTCTAAAATTAGAGGATTCTTTTGTTTAATGTTAAACAAAACATCAGGTTCTCCATGAAAATTCCACTCCTAAAAGTGTTTAACTGCATGTATTTAATTCATAAACTGGGTAACTGTTGGGTCACTTGTAAAAGAAGGTCTAATCCCATATGACTAGACCTGTCTTTTATAATATCACAGCAATTGCACCTATACGGTAAATACAATTTATCTCTACATGCAGAGTATCACAACATAACATTTAATTTAGGACAATGTACATACTCCCAGGGGCAGTCAAAGTATTTACAAAGCTTAGTGCATTTTCCCCCATCCCTTGTCACCCCTGAAAGTTCTATGGCATTCTTAATTTTCAAAACACAAGACCAATCTATTTTAATATTAATCTAAATAATCTTCATGAACCATCCCTATGGACTTACATATGAAAGATGTAATTAGAATTTAGGCACAAGATAAATTTTACTATTGTGACAAGCTAAAACAATGTTCCATCTAGTGTTGGGTTTTCTATGTCAGCAGGAAGAAATTGTTTTATTCACCTGTGAGTTTTAAATAGTGCCTTGTAGTATTTATACTGTAACATAACAGTGAAGAAAATTACGTACTCTCCCCAAAAATAATTAGTAAAGTGAATGTGTTAGAAGAACAACTTGGGGGTGTGTGTGAGTGCTTTGGAACTTCATTTTGAAAGTACTAATTTGAAAACACACCTTAGTTTCCAAAATGATCAAAACAATCCAACTAAAACTAAAATTGGGTCAGCAACATCTAGCAATATCAGCAATCTATATGAAAATTGATACATATACTTATGATTCTGCCAAATTAAGTTTTGGTATGTCTATTTATGCACCTAATTCTGATAAGCAGATCATAGTATTTAACTAATACAGTTGATAAATAAAAGAGCTCCTATAGAATCCAGAAGATATCATTTTTTCATTTCAATAGCTCTTTATAAGATTTAGATAACATTTACTCCATGGTTCTGTCATTCAAACTGGAAATACCAACGTATCAGATGCATCTTCAATTAATAATAATTGAACAGGATATACTTATGATATATTAATATGATAAAAGAACTCTTAAACCAACATTTGAGATGGGTATGAAATACTCAAGAGATTGTATCATTCATTTAGGCTCATTTATAAAAACCGCAGTTACAGAAGCAGCAGTTACAGTGGCCAGTTTTTCAGAAAGCTGCCTGTTGCATTTAATGAAGTATCAGCTGTGGCAAAACAACATTGCAACTTCAGGCATGAGAAGCACTACTGAAAGTTAACTATATTTTACAATTCAGTCTCATTTTTTATTCAATGTCAGTATACAGAGGACAACCCCGGTAAATTGTAACGTCAAGTATTTAGTAGGGTTCTTCAGCTGAAACAGTGACATAAAATGCTAAAAAATAAGCAGTATGAAACAAACATGATTTTTAAAAATTATAAATATATGAACAATACTTATTAAAGCTTCATTATTATTGCAACAGTCAATTTAGTTTAACAATTTATGTTAGAAAGGCTCTTATGAAATTTATTTAAATTGCCAAGAAATCAGATGGACGTTTATAAAGAAAATACATATGAATTTACTGTTGATTTTCACTATATCATTACAATTTTGTACAGTATAACCTAACGTGTCAGTCTTAACAAATTCATGTATACAGATTTCATAAATGCAGGGAAAAATCTTACTTTTAAACTTTATACAAGTTATGTGACAATAAATTAGATGGTTTTCTTTCTTTCAACATAAGCAGGCCAGCAGTTATTTTTAGTAGCTTTAAAGTGATGGAAGGGAAACATACATGGTCTGTTCAAGTACATTACTTAGTTCCAAAATATCAAGCATTTCTGAAATGCTTTAGCATGACTCTTTTCTTTCTAATTTGGATTTCCACATGGAGGCAATTACTCTTTTTTGGCTTCACAGAAGGAACTGGCTAATTTTTGACTGGTATAATTAACTTATATTAATTTACCCCAATAATTATGTATAAGAACATTTCAAGGAATCCCCAGATCCTGTTTAAATCATTAAATCTAGCATTATGCCAATCATAGCTAGCATTTTCCACAGCATTTTTTATTTCCATTCAATAAATCCATTTTGCCAATGAAAATTTAGTTTCAAATGGAATTTATCACATTCTAATATAGCATTACAAAATATCTGTACAATATTTTAGCACAGAACTAAGTTAAATAATGATGCTGTACTACAGTTGCTACTTATTGGAAAATGTTCTATAATTTAGATCTAATTTTTTTCTTGTATAATATGGTTCAAATGTTGTAAATTTAATGTGAATTTTATTATACAAATTGGTAACACATTTACTCTGCTAGGGTTTTTGCTGCCAGTTCATTCAATTCAACCTTTATTGTTAGTGAAATCATACTAAAAATATTCAAAGATAAATAGCTGCAGGTTTCCTGAATATTACAAGTGGTTACTAATCACGGTGGATAAAATCTGTCAATGAAGGCAATACCTGATAGAAATCTAGATATGACTAGCATCACAAAAGAAATCCAAAAACTTTCTTGCTGTCTCTACCAGACTAACAAGCAAGGAATTGGCCAAGAGATTCATGAGCAACTTAACTTTCTGAGTGATGCAATGTATTTTTTTTACAAAGCATTACTGAGAAACTTTCATGCCAGCAGAATAGGCAGCTTTCCCATAAATCAGCAGTTCTAAAACGTTGCTTTTATGTGCAACATGACCTGTGTATTTTTATTGAACACAATACATTACATGTTAACATGTGTCTAAACTGTATTTTGAAAAAGGACACGAGGAAGCTCAAAACATGCAAATGCAGAGTAAGAAAACCTAAGGCTGTAGTGTAAATCTTCTTACTCCAATCTGACAGTGTTTCTTTCTAACCTATGGGTCCATGCTACTGAAACCATAATTAGATACTTTAGCCAAGGCAGAGAGCAGCCAGACCAAAGCAGTTTATTCTAATGAATAAATATTCTAATCTGTTCTTCTGCTATCCTCACTGCACCAGTCTGGCAAAGGGGAAGGAGTGGGATAGAAAAGGCTGGCTCAATAGCAATGAAGATTCAAACTGCAAAAGTGGTTGAGTCTTCTTCCTCAACCTGGAGGTTTGGGACCCTTTTATCCAACTGAAATCTTCTAGCAAAAGCAGAGAACAATTTTAGCAGCAGAAAATGGATGAGTGGAAACTATATGCTAGGATCCTTGTAGAAAAATAACAGTGCAGGAATACAGCAGCTTTAAAGATTTTAAAATGAAGCTAAAAGGAATAAACCTGGATAAGATAAATGTAGGCAATGTTTAACCCAGGGGAAGAAATATGTTACCATTGTTTTGAAGGTTAATTAAATAGGCATAGAATTTAATTAAGTGCTCTCCTATAAAACAAAAACAAGGTTTCTGTTACAATGACCACCCTGGCCAGAACCCTGTAAACATATCACCTAATTTGCTAGTTTAGGCCTGCTAAGTAAGCTCACCAACTGCAAAATAAAGAATAACAACAACAGCAATAAGAAACCCATCCTAAGTAAACGCATCCTAAATAAAATGGCATTTACAACAGTGTGCAATATTAGTTTTCAGAGACCTCATGAATACTATCAGCATGAAACTTACCTTAAAGATTTCTGCATTTGCCAAATATAGAAATCCTAGCTTTTGATACTGCATACTCTATCTCTGAAATATTTGAAATGTCCTTCAAATTAAATTGTTGCTATATGCAAGTTGTACTCATTAGTTCACTTCAGCTCCTTTAAAATCTCAACCTAATAAAAATGGAAGCAACCTAAGAGCCAGTGTTAAATTACTTTGGAATCTCTGATACATTAAACAGAGGGGAAATACTTTCCCACTTCATCAACATACATCTGCAAAATCACTATCAGCTTTCTTTGGCCCCTGCATAAACTAAGGTGGAAATTATCTTAGTGGAAATGAATAAAGTATGAGATTTTATCTTCATAGTTTGCTTGTCTCACCCACATGAAAATAATGTCATATTTTTAGATTGTCTATCCAAGATAAGGCATACAGGAAAGACCACATATCAGAGCATGTTTGTTGTGAATTTAACATTTGAATAAAATTTTATTACACATTACAGAACAATAATGAAACTGTAAGTCCCAATAGGCTTTGATTTCTATTGGAAGAACTTTTACTTGTCATAATTTTCTGAAGTCTGCTCACTCCAGGAATTGACAACTGTCAAGTACTTCATGGCTTATTCTCTGGAAGATGTTTTAAAAGTGCCCCATACTACATCTCCAAAAAAAGTCAACCATCAGCCATTTTGGATACCATTTTCTCTAGTTTGCCCAATAACAAATGGCATTGTACTAGTTCAGATTCTAGCTCCAGCTCTATTGTGTTGGACTATATAATATAAACGATTTCCCCAAAGCCTTATACATGGCTACATAAGGAATCATAGTCTGTGGAGGTTGAGCCCAGGATGGCCAAGTGAGTGCACAGAAATCACTTCAAGTTTTTTTTAAAAAATCTTAGCTACAGCTTTCAAATTGCCAATAAACATTGAAGTCAACCTTTATCAGCATAAAGTGCTAAAAATTTAAATAGATAATTTTGTTAAATATGAAATAAAAGATTACCACTGCCAGATTTAAGCCTACGGATTTAATGAACAATGCATGAGTTAAAAATACTGTTAACATGAAAATAATCTGAAGTGACAAGGAAAATTATGGGATGAGGATACATTCTGCTAAGGGACTTTTGTGATCTTACACACAAATGTTTGAAGATTGATATTAAAAGTCAGAATATTACAATGTATATTTAATATCAGTTTATTCAAATTTTAAATGGAGACACTACAAATTATCCTGATTACTGAAGAATTAAAAACCCATCACTATGAATAGCTTTCAAAAAAGGTGAGAATATATTGTTTATTGACTCCCATCAGTTAACTGTTTCAAATTCAGCTGTCCAAAATATCATAGTAGATTAAATTACAGCCTAGTTAACCTATATTCCTGAATGCCCTTGCAACTTTATCCTCAGTAATTAATTTAGATTTGTTTCAATTATGTTATATAAAAATAGTTTTGAAAATATAAGAAACCTATCACTGACACTTTGGATACACAACACATCTCTGGCTGAAAGGCAACTGTATTTCAAAAGGACTTCACCTAGGCCAGACACTTCAAATTGTTCAGAAATACAGCATGCAGTATCCAAAAGTATGGCTCTGAGGAAATAATTTTTACATTAAGCGTAAAGATTGTTTATACTCAACATTCACTTATGTTTTGAGAAAAAAAAACTACCTATTCAAGTTCTATTTCTTTGATGCAGCATTAAGGATTAAAACTTACCACTTTACCAGGCCTTGCCCATGTGCAAATAAATCCCTCCTGACAAGCAGTGACTATACAGTCTTCAAGAAAAATTAACACAGTCAGTCTTTCATGTGCTATCTTTTTACAGATAAGAGGCTCTAACAAAGGAACATCTTCCATTCTGGGGCACAGAGGCGTTCCCAAAGTTTTTGCTGGGTCTGTTTTGGTTTTAGTAACTAGATTCAGTTTGTCACTGCTCTTACTAGATATATGTCCCATACTATGATTTCGCTTATGATCTTTTTCATGGTGTTTTTCCTTCCGGTCATGTAATGATAATGTTGCAAACTTACTAACACCAGAGGCAATGGCACCATCCATGACACTGCTTTTGCTGCCAGAATTGGAAACTGCAGAATGTGGAAGGCTATTGGAACGTGGAAGAGGAGGGGGTACAGAGTTTCCAGGTGTTGTGATGCTATTTCCATTACTTCCTGGGTTAGCTCCACCACTTCCTGTAGGGGGACTTGTGGCAGTCATGACATTTGTATGTGTCCTTGCTCTTGAGAGGGGCTGGTGTGGGAAGAGGATGTCTTCTGTTAGATCCCATAAACATAGCTGTGTGTCCTGACCTACTGAACCAAACCTGTATGTTACACTTACAGGGCGACTCTCTGTAGAGTTCCTTTTTGATAATCTTGACTGCGTACTATTTGCTCGATCTCGTCCAAAATGGAGGAGGTCTTGGAAGTCCTCATCACTGCCACTGAATTCCATTGGATCATTTTCTTCTACACTGGTTGTATATGGATCAAAGGCCACAACACTGACCCATGATTTGTGTCCATGGCCTCTAGCTATCACTCGACAGTCCACAAAAGACCAGACAGTCACCAAATCATCTTCTCCACCTGTTACAATATATTTTCCATCTGGGCTCCAACATGCACACAGCAGTCCTCCAAAGTAGCTTTTCATTGTACCATGCAACTCAACTGAATCAAAGTTAAATACACGAAGAAAGCCATCCTGACTTACACATGCCAAGAATTTTCCATCTGGAGAAAAACCAAATTCATTTAGGGCACCTTCACCTACTGTCCATTTAAGTAAAGGGTTTCGTGTAGATTTGCTTTTGCACGTATGGACTGCAAAACTTTCTCCTTGTTTAAGTAGCTGATAGTGTGGAGCTGTGGTACCACAGTTGTGTTCTACATTATATAAGTACATATTGCCACTGGAATGAGCTACTAGGAAGAGACTTTCTGAACCAGGCACCCATTTTACACAAGTTACTCTGGACTTGTCTATTAGCCTCTGAAAAACAAAAGAAAAATATAGTTAATCACAGTTCTGCATTGTTCATGTAATATTAATTTTTTGTCAAAAATACATATTCCTTCTTGACAACTCATTAAGATTTTGAATGGTATGAAATTAAGTTAAAAGAATATTTTTCTTATAAATATGAAATAAGAATATAATAACTAACCAGATTTGTCATTAACATCTTTAGTATAAAATCAAGCTCAGGAAAATACATATATTCCAAGAAAAAATACTAATTTACTAAATTCTGCCTTAGGGTTTTTGATCTGAAATGAAATTTTAGAAATGCAAAGCTTCTCTCCCTTTCTTTCCCTTCCCCTCCCTTCCCTCCTAGATTTTGAACCTATGTACTAGATTTTCTGATATTTTTTAAAATATTACAGTATTCAAGTCATTATTTATTTCCATTTAAGTGAAACATAGGGCACAGAAAATAACAGACAGTATTAATAATTTTTGAAGGCAGCTAAAAAATAACAAAATTGCTTCTTTCTCTAAAACAGTATCATATCGCTTTAACTGGGATATAAATTTCATAGGTGTATTCTGGAGTTCTTAACATATAGAGATGTCATAGTGGACAATCATCATAATGCTTGTATCCATTTATAAAAGCTAAATGTTTATTCCAGTCCTGTGAAAGCAACAACATTATACAATGTAAACATTATACAATGTAAACTAATACAAAATCATCCACCCAACATTTTAATGTTAATCATCCACCCAACATTTTAACATTAACCATCTTCCCTTATGAAAAGGTTTTGAAATTAAATATCCTGAAATGATTTCATACAACTTAAACTGGCCCCATTAAAGGTACTGCCTTCATCAATTTAGAATTATTCAAGTTATGGTAAACATGGATTAATTTATATAGCTCTTGTAATATTTAGAGAAACACGAACTAGAATAATTCCATCTCAGCATTTTTTTTCTTCCATTATTTATTTAGAATAAATAGCATGAGAGTGTTGTGTTTTGTTGTACAACTGGAGCTAAACAGGCTATATTTATAGATGAGTAAGTAGGTGGCCACGATGCTAGTTTCTCTTTGTCAGGAGCCACAATTTTTGGTGCTAATTGTGAGTTAAAGGAAAGACTGTACTGAAAACTTTGGGAAGGACAGTCTTGAATTGTAGTCCAGCAGATAAACTTATATACAAGCTGCAAGAGTCCCTGCTACAAATTGTTATGAATAAAAGATAAAATCATTGAATAGATAATGGTGATAGAGAAGAGAAGAGGGCATTTAAACAAAATTGTATAGGTTTTTGTTCTATGAAAGTTAACATAAATTGTAATTTCTCGGAAAATATACATTGATTTTCATCCTTTCAATTTCTATGATGCTTTTTTATAGAATGAAAAGATTATGATTGTTTTAGTTGTTCACAATTTTGAGAAAAAAGTAGCATCTTGGATTCTAATCTCACTGAAAGATTATTTCCTATCTGAAGTCTCTAAAAAGTTCCCTAAGGAACCAAATAAAAAAGAAATCAAAATCTTTCCTCTATCCTTTTCTTTCACAAAACTGTATGAGAGGAATTCCTCTTCTCTTCTCCTTTCACTGCGAACTTCCTACCCCAGCTTATTCCTTTTCTATTTTGATGGGTTTGTAATAATTGAAAAATAGTTTGGAGGAGGAGAATTATCTATCAACAGAGTACCTTTCACTGACAGGATGACGTAGCAGAATAACAATCTAATAGCTAAACCTACCCTATTTTTATCTAAACAAATGTACATGAAAAACATTGTTCATACCAAGGCTCATTTTACACAGCATTAAAACAACCAAAAAAAGTCAGGTTCCTAAAGAAATATTCATGCAGGCTTTCTGCACATATCTATTTTATTGTTATTATTATTTAGTCTGCAATAGATTTCTAACCATGATTACAAACTATCTTAGCAAATTCAATGAAGCATATGAAATGCTAATTAAAACTGGGGAACAAATACAGCTTTAAGACAGAGGAATAATTGGCTGGTATAAAACTGGCTGCAATTGAAGTACAGTATACCCTTATCTGCTTTAGCATAGTATGTTTGCATTTTTCATTGTAAGGATAGGAAGTTGGAAGAATGGCTGGAAGAAAAAGCCAACACATCTATTTTACACTAGTACTATAAATATACATTGTTGTATTCAATATTCACCAGGGCAAATTGTTTCCAAGTAAAAAAATAATTATGCCATACATGAAGAAAATGCTATAAAGAATGCAAGTATATTTGCATGCACTAAGATTAAGACATTCACTTACTTCTTCATTAAATAGCTTGCTAGTTTCTTTTTTAATAGGATCTATTAGCTGCACCTGTCCTGCAGAGAAGCCCACTAGAAGAGAAACACTTTCTGCTGTGGCTGTTAAGTGATTGAAGTCATGACATGTAGGTTGCGTTCCTTTGTATATTCTTTTATCTATTGGTTTACTCAAATCAGCAGCCTGCAAGGAAGATTGAAATTGGGATTAGCAATGGGTAACACTTCAGTCTAAAATGCTAACTCTGAGCTCTTTGCTAAGAGAAAAAACAAATCAACTATTTATAGCCACCAAGGCATTTAAAAAGCAGGACTTTTTAAGAAACCAGCTTTGTCCTTATTCAATCATGTATTAAGATTTGCCAAATTTTTGTATAATTAGGGATTACTGTTTTCTTAACTCTCATGAGGGAGTTGATGTATTTCTGCCACAAACTGTTAATAGTCATATTTTGTAATTATAGTTGGTACCATCTGCATTTTACAGATGAAACACATTCATAAAAATACATTCACAGATTATGCATATAAAGTACAAGAGGTAAATCTACTCTTTATAACATTTTTCACTACAAGTACAAAACCAATGAACTTTTTACCACACCTTTATAAGCGTTTGTTACTGAACCCAGATGACAAATGCAGATGGCCAAGTTTGATTAATATGGCAGATGGCCAAGTTTGATTAACCCAGGGGAAGGCAACCTTGGCTCTTTTATGACTCATGGACTTCAACTCCCAGAATTCAGGAAGTTGAAGTCCACGAGTCATAGAAAAGCCAAGGTTGCCTACCCCTGGATTAACCAATTAAAGAAAATATTTCAAGCACTAGCTGAGTCTCTGTATTGTGTGGGGAATCAGTAAGTTTCCCACTATGCCAGATGCATTGGAAGGGGCGTTGGTCTTACCTGAACGCCTTTTCTCAGTACGGAGATGGATAATCCACGGATGGGTTTTCTCTGTCTGCCTGCTCTTGAGACCAAGTAGCCAAAGCCTGACACGCCCCCACTTCCTGTGGAGTCCATTCTTAACGAGGGCGAATTGGCTGATGATTGACGAGGTATTGGCTCTCAGCTCCCTACTAGCGGCCTGCTGGCCTTGGGGTGGGTGTGGATTATCCATTTCCGTACTGAGAAAAGGCGTTCAGGTAAGACCAACGCCCCTTCTCCAGTACAGGAGATGGATAATCCACGGATGGGACGTACCAAAGCCTCACTGTCCCAAGGGGTGGGAAACAGATAAGGCCGGTAGATTGATCTCTGAGACAACTTGCTGGAGGACCCTCCTACCAAAGGAGGCGTCCGCCGATGCAAAGCGGTCTATCTTGTAGTGTCGTATAAACGGGGAAGGCGAGGACCATGTCGCGGCCCTGCAAACTTCCTCGATTGACGCCTGGGTAGCCCATGCCGCCGAAGTTGCAGCGCTTCGGGTGGAATGGGCTGTGAGATGACTTGGGGGCGGCAGGGATGATACATTGTAAGCTTCTGCGATACAGCTTCGGATCCACCTTCCAATGGTGCCCGCGGAAACTTTCCGCCCCAAGGTGCCCGCTTGGAAGGACACAAATAGGGCCTCCGATTTGCGGAAGGGTTCTGTACGCTTTATATAACGCCGCAAGGCTCTGCGGACGTCCAATGTATGCCACTGCCGCTCCCGGTCATGTGTTGGATTTGGACAGAAGTTTGGGAGAATTACTTCCTGTGTCCTGTGAAAGAGTGAATTCACCTTCGGTATGAAGGCAGGATCTAACCTAAGGACCACCCTGTCCTTGTGGAAAATGCATAGGTCGTTTCTGACTGACAGTGCGGCCAGTTCCGAAATTCGTCTGGCCGATGTGATGGCAATCAGGAACGCCACCTTTAGCGACAGGTGTCGCAAGGAAACGGTCGCCAATGGTTCAAATGGTGACCGAGTGAGTGCGTGAAGGACTCGCGGTAGTTCCCAGGACGGGTACCTGTGAATTACTGGAGGTCTGGTGTTATAGGCGCCCTTGATAAAGGCGCGGATCCTGGGGTGGTGAGCTAAGGGAACCGAATCCGTGCAGGTGAGGAGGGTGGACAAGGCCGCCACTTGCCTGCGGATGGTCGCGGGGGCGAGGCCTCTGTCTAGTCCCTCCAAGAGGTAATCTACTATCTGAGGGATGTAGAGTTTGTGTAAGTCAAACTGCCGTTCCCTGCACCAAAGGCAAAAATTTTTCCAAGTGGAGTCATAAATGCGGTTTGTTGCCGGACGGCGTGAAGCTTGAATTATGGTAATGGCCCCGGGAGAGAATAGTTCCTGTGCCATTATCTGGCGCTCAAGTGCCAGGCGGTCAGTTGTAACCATTGGGGTTCCGGGTGACTGATGGTTCCCTGGTGTAGGGACACTTGATGAGGGGGAATGTTCCATGGGGGCGACTGAGACAGGTTCATCAGGTCGGCGAACCACGGTCTCTGTGGCCAATATGGTGCTACTAGGATCACTTCTGCCCGCTCCTGAATCAGCTTTCGGATGACCGCCGGTATGAGTGGTAGTGGGGGAAAGGCATAAAGCAGACCCTGAGGCCACTGAGTTCTCAGAGCGTCCGTCCCCTCTGCTCGCGGGTTGAAGTAACGAGAGTAAAATCTGGGGAGCTGGGCATTGTCTGATGATGCGAACAGATCGAGGATCGGGTACCCGAACTTGCGGGAGATGTCTAGGAACAAGTTCGGGTGTAGCCCCCACTCCGAAGGGTCCACTGTGGTGCGGCTTAGGAAGTCCGCTTGCTGGTTGTTGACCCCCGATATGTGTTCCGCTTTTAGTGACTTCAGATTGGGCTCTACCCAGCTGAATAGGAGTCGTGACTCTGTCATCAGGGTTTTTGATCTGGTCCCCCCCTGCCGATTGATGTGCGCCTTGGCTGCTACGTTGTCTGTTAGGACTAGAACGTGGTGGCCTCTGATTCTGTCTTTGAATTGTTGCAAGGCTAGGTGGATAGCCCTGAGTTCTAGCCAGTTGATGTTGTTTCTCAGATCCGTGGCGGACCAACATCCCTGTACAAACTGGGAGTCCAGATGGGCTCCCCAACCATACAGACTGGCGTCTGTAGTGATGGTAACTCTGACTGGTTCCTTGAAGGGTGACCCCTTGGTCACGGCCCGAGAGCACCACCAGCGTAGCGCCCTGCGGATTTGTGCCGTGACCCTGACTAGGTGGTTGGATGCGCTGGTGTTCTGCCGTTGGTAAGGGAGCAGAAACCACTGTAGTTCCCGTAGGTGGAGCCTGGCCCAGGGTACAATGGCTATGGCCGATACCATCTTGCCCAATAATTGGGAAAGTGTTAGTATCGGAACTGAACGTTGCCTGTGAACCCAGCGAGCCAGTTCCCTGATGCCGGCCACCCGGTCTTGGGAGAGATAGACCATACAGTTGGTTGTGTCTATCATGGCCCCCAGATGCAGCAGCCTGGACGAGGGAACTGTCTGGCTCTTCTGAAAGTTTACTGAGAATCCGTGTAATTGGAGGACGCGAATGACGGTCCTTACGTCCGCCTGAGCTGTCTGTAGGGATGTTGCTTGGATTAGTATGTCGTCTAGGTAACATTGGACGCGTATTGGGATTTTTCTCAGTTTGGCGGCTACCGCTGCTAGTATCTTGGTAAATACCCTGGGTGCCGAAGATAGACCGAAGGGGAGAGCTCTGTATTGGAAGTGTTTCCCCCCGTAACAGAAACGTAGGAACCGGCGGTGGTTTGGGTGGATGGGGATGTGAAGGTAGGCTTCCGTGAGGTCTATCGATGCCAGGAAGTCTCCTTCTCTGATGCTTCCCAGGATGGACTGAAGGGATTGCATCTTGAATTTTTTGTATGTGATGTAGCGGTTGAGGTTTTTTAGGTCCAGGATTGCCCTCCATCCTCCTGAAGTCTTTGGAACCACGAAGAGGATGGAGTAAAATCCTCTGCCTCTGTATTCCGCTGGGACCGGTTCTATGGCTTGAATGTCCAACAGGTGTTGGATGGCCTCCTGCATGAGTTTGCGTTTGGTGGGGTTCCTGGAGACCGAGCAGTTGATGAGTCGGTCTGGGGGTGTGACCAGGAACTCCAGGGACAGCCCGGACTGGATGGTTTGTAGTACCCAGTTGTCCGTGGAGGTCTGCTCCCACTGGTGGAAGAAGTGAGCTAGTCTTCCTCCAATGGGTAGGTCTATGTAGGAGTCATTTTGTCTTCCGGTACGGACGACCCGTTCCACGAAAGGGTCGTCTTGACTGGTTTTGTTGTCTGGGCTGGAACCCCGGTCTGTCGTAGGGGCGGCCGTACAGTTTGTTCTGCCTGGGAGTGAATTGCTTGGGTGCCTGACTGATAGGCGTGGTTGTCGGTTGGCGAAAGGACTGCCTACGAAAGTAAGGTGTGGTATGTTTGTCTGACCTTTTGTTCAAGTGTGCCATGACCTTCCGCTTGTCTTTGTTCTCTACAAGATAGGGGTCCAAGGCCTCCCCAAACAGACCGTTGCTTGAGTAAGGGGCGGTCGCTAGCCGCCACTTAGCCTTGGTGTCAGCTTGCCAGTGTTTTAGCCATAGCATTCTCCTGGCAATTATGTTGGATGCTATGGATCTGGATGAAAAAATGGCCGATTGGAACGTTGCGTCTGCAGCGTATTCCGTGGCTGCTACCATCTTAGCCAGGTCCTGGTGTGTTCGTATGTCCTCCATAGGAACTATGGTTTGTAGTTGTTGCAACCAGATGAGGGTGGCCCGGACAAAAAAGGAGGCCGAGGTGGCTGCTTTGATGGCCCATGCCGCTGTCTGGTGGGTTTTGCGAAAGGCTTGTTCCCACTTTTTGTCATCTGCCTTAAGGGCCTCCACTAGGTCCCCAGCCATGGCTGTCTGGGAGACCAAGGGGGTCCAGGCTTCATCTACTTTAGGAATTTCTAAGGCCTCATTGAGGTCTGTGGCAGTGCTGTATAATTTTTTGTCCGTACCACTCACTGATGGGAAGGAAGCGGGAGAGTCCCATGGCTTCTTGATCCCTTTCAGGAAAATGGCGGGGCAAGGTATATGGTGTTGCGTTGTCACCTTTTCTACGAATACGGGTCTGGATGTGGTGGCCGGTGTCACTTGCGGCTGAGAAAACTGATCCGTCCCCATGTCCGCAATGGCTGTGGCCTTGCGTAGTATCGTGAGGAAGCGGTTGGGATTAAATAATCCCCCTGAGGGGGGCTCAGGGGGAAG